CCGGCGCAACCCATCAGGCGACCTAGGCGGTCGCCTAGGGCACTGCAATTTGGGGGGTGGCAACCGCGACGATATTTCCACGGCAGGATCTTCCGCCGCCTCTGTGAGGGGGCGGCATTTTGGGGTGGGACCTTCCGCCACCTAGGGCGGCGGAAAAGCTGGCAGCGCTCCTGGGTGTGTGTGGGGATGGGATATAAGGGGACATACATATATGGAGATGGATAGACACTGTCAATGTGTGGCTACAGTCACAGCCAACCAAGGATTTACCCCACTAAAGTGAGCAATGGAGGTGCCTGGCTGGGGAATGAGGGACAGCCCTGCTAACAGTCTGGGAGGTGAGCAAACTCCCAGAGTGACAGATCAGGAGCCGACAGAGGCACTGACAGGGAGGCGGCCGAAGGGACCAACTCACAAGAGAGATCAAATGACAAAGCTGAGCGGCTTGTGGGGCTGGCTGCCCAGGGGCTCCATGGACAGCAGAGAGATCCAGGGAGTGGGGAGCAGAGCCCAGGACTCACAGAGATAAGGGGCAGGGCACTTGGGTGTGGAGCTTTCAGAAAGGGCAGAGCGATGACTCAGATGATGGGAAACAGAGACATTTTGGCTCTCGGATTCCTCCACCATTAAACTCCTGGTGAAATTCTCAACAGTTCCCCCTGTGTTTGCAGCTTCGGGGCCATCTTGACATGTGGACAGCATGAGTGACATGTCTCCCTCTAGTGGCTGATCAGTGGATGAGGATAAGGCCCTACTACTGCCGCCTGCTAACAGGGCTGCTCTAGTGTTAGAAGACCGTGTCTTTAATGCCAAAGGTCCTGTCGTGGCCCACAGAGGGGACTGTATGACAAGAGGTATGGTGGGGAGGGCACAGAGCTGGGACTCAGATCTGGATTCTATGCCTGGCTTGCCCTTGGGCAGGTCACTTCCCCTCTCTGGGACTCAGTTTCCCCTCCCATGCTTGTCTGTCTGGTTTATTCAGATTCTTGAGAGCAGGGACTGTGTCTGTGCAGTGCCCTTGGGGCCTCTATGTACTGTCAGACACAGTCAGAACTCCAGCTGGCCTGCAGCAGTTTCTGACGGCGAACACAGACAGTTGGCAATGACAGAAGGGGAAAGGGGTCTACTCCCAGCAGTCAGACTTCCAAGGGAGTGACTCGAAGCCCATGGGAGAGGATGGGGCTCAGGGTTTATAGCTGGCTGATCTGCAGGTCCAAGAATCCAAAACAGCCAATAGTGGGGCTGGGTAAGACTGCACACCCCCCCAGCCCCTGTCTGCACAAGTACCTGTCCTCCTGGCAAGGGTCACGGCAGCAGCATGCACGTGATTGTGAGAGCACCAGGGCACAGCCCTAGCTCTGTGGGGTGGGAGAGGAGCCGGCGATCACGCTGGGATAGAGACTGGGCAGCAGCTGCATGGGGATGGGGAAGGGGTTCTCTGCCGTGCACCACAGCCCGTGTGCCGATGAGACATACAGAGGGGATGTGATGAGAGCCGCTAGCAATTTCCGATGCGATTGTTTAATCACCAAAGGCACGAGGGTGTGTGGTGGGGGGGGGGGGGATGCCTGTGAGGGGAGGAGATTATAGAACGGCAACTTTCTGCTGCCTGTCACATGACCCCGGCCAACGCCCGCATCACACACTCACTTCCAATCTGTCCCCTTTCCCCTGCACTCCTTCTCCCCACCTCTTCCCCGCTCCCCCTTGGCCTGACAGCTGGGAAATCTCTCCTTAACCTCCCTCCAGAAGCCCACCCCCCTGCCCCTTCATTCGGCTCCACACCAGGCGACCAGTCTCTGCGCAGAGGCCCGGATGGCTGCTCTCAAGGGGTCTCCGCAGCACTGCCACATGTTTCGGCTCAGAGACAAGCGGCCCGGATCCCGGCGCTGGAGTTCACCTGCCAGCTCCTGCCCCATTAAAGCATCTGGAGCCGGCTCGAGAACGCAGGCTTTCTGCGCTGCTGGCTGGAGCGTGACTGATGAGACCCAGGCTCTGCTGCCTTTCACCCCTTACCCTCAGCAACGCTCCCTTTCCTCCCACGATGGCGGAACCAGGTCCTGTGGGAGGGCTCAGGCTCTCACCGCAGGGGTCATAGCTGCCCTAGGAAGGATGCAGCCAGTATCCACCAGTGCAGGGCTGGGAGGTTGGGGAGGGGCTGATGGACGGTGGGCATTGGGGGTGGAGGGGACAAGAAGATGAGCGCCCTGTGAACTCTTTTGCTCAGGGTGACCATGCTCAGGCCAGTGGGTTTCCCAAGTGGTGTGGGGTTTAGGAGCCCCAGTTTGGGGTGCCTTAAAGAGCTCGGATTTTCAGGAAGTGCTCCCCGAAAACCTGCATCTCTGTTGACAATCGCGGCCACAACAACTTTCGCTGGAGGGCAGTGGGACAAGTGACCAGCCCGCCCTCCCCCTCCCCCCCGCTGCCACAGACAGCCAAAGAGCCACCAGATTAGAGTCTGTGTCAGCTGCCAGGAGAGAGGGGACAGCCCTGGGGGAAGGCACTGGGAGGGGGGGGCAGGATTTTCAGCACACTGGGTGCAGAAAAGTCGGTTCATGTGCCTGGATAGGAGTGAGGTCTTTGGAAAGCCCAGCCCTGAGCTCTTGGGAGCACAGCCGGTGCACTCCTGCAGGGCTCCGGTGCAGAGATCAGGCACCAGGAGCACGGCCAGACTGTGGATAACCGAGGGGCTGGGTTACCTGGCGTCCTGTGTGCACCAGTGCGTCTAGACCAAGAGCTGGAGTCTCATGCTAGTTCCAGGCACTTCCACTGCTCGCTGAACAGCTGAGTGTCTGCTGTGGGTGTGCGTGCCAGGAGGGAGCGGGGGGGCATCTCTAGATCTAGATACACAGGGCCCCGGATTCTCCATCACAGGACAGAGGGGGTTTGTCAATTACAGTTCCTGCCAGAGGGGTCTACAGGAGCCTTGGAGCAAATGAGGACCAGGCCCCACGTCTTTCCCCAAAGCCACAAGTCAGTCACCCAGCACCAGAGACGTTTCCATCTCAGGGGCTCCTGCTTGGCCGCTCACACGCAGAAGGCAGGAATGGCGGATTCACAGCAACCAGGGGCGTCCCAGAAGATGAACAATAACAACGCCTTCCCCACCTTTCATCCAAGGCCCTCTAGAAATAGCTCCCTACCCCCAAGGAGAGCTCAGTATTATCAGCCCGATGTGACGGGCGAGTAAACCGAGGCACAGAGGACATGACATGCCCAAGGCCATGCACAGAGTCAGCAGCAGAGGTGGGGCTAGAACCCAGGCATCCTGACTCCGCCCTGTGCCCTAGCATCTAGACCCTACTCCCCTCCAGGGCTGGAGATAGAACCCAGGAGTCCTGACAGCTCCCCCCAATCTAACCCCTGCAACCCACTGCCTCATACTGACCATGCCTCCAGCAACCCACAGTTGCCTTCTAGTGGCCAGAGATTAGGCACAGTTAGGAGCATCACCCCAGGGTACCTACTGCACTCACAGTAAATAGCATTAAGGGGCAGACAGAACAGCTGGAAAAGTTGGCATGGAGGCCCACGCCCCTGTGCTGTGAATGGCGCAGTGCCCGGTGCATCCTTTCCCCCTTCTCGCCCCTTCACATCTGGCCTGGAGAGCTCAGCCAGGTGGGTTTTCTGCTGGGAAGATAATGCCGCCACCACCACCACCTAGCTCTGCCCGAGTACTTTTCATCAGCCGCTCTCAGTTTGCAGAAGCGAGCTCTTATTAACAACACCGTTTACTACCTGTGCTCCGGCAGCCGAGAGCAGGGCCCCACTGTGCCAGGCACTGCCCCAACCAGCTCACAAGTGAAACGACACAGGAGAGACGCTGCCCCCATGTTACAGGTGGGGAGATTAAAGGAGTTGGACCAGGTGGCAGAGGCAGGGACTGAACCCAAATCTCCCACCAACCCAGCCCTTTTCACACTTCCCGGGGTTCCCACGCTGCCTCCCGGGCTCCCGTTTGCCGTGTTGCCCAGAGATTTCCTGTGAAAATTCCAGCCCAAACCTCTGCCCTGAAACAGCCTCCCTTCCCCAGCAGAAAAGAGCCCGATCCAACAGCTCCCATGGTCAGCCACTGAATCACGCTGGCGGGCCGTGACATGGCTGTTCGTTGGCGTGGGCACTGCCTGCCTAGATTTCACCACTTCCCCTCCGGGCAGCCCCAGCCCTGCAATCCCCTCCAGATCTTTGGGGGAAGCCCCCTGCAGCTGGGCTGGGGCACTAGCAAAGGCAGCCACAGAAATGGAAACTGACCATGGGGGGAGAGGAACAGGAACCAAGCCCAGGGAGCTGCCAGAACAGAAGCTCTGGTGCTTGGGTCTGGGGCGGATTTGCAGCTCCAGTAGGGTGGGGAGAGACAGGCCTGGTCCCCAGGGGAGAGGGAGCAGAAGGGATTTCCCACGCTCCCGGGGATAGGAGCGGTGTTTGTACAGCGCCGAGCACAAGGCAGGCGGAGCTCCGGGGGCACTACCCTAACATCCAACACCCGGAGGGGTGGGGCTGCACCAGCTAGGCACAGGGAAGGGGAGCCAGGAGTCTGGTGCTTTCGCGGGGTTAGAGAGACCAATCTTTAAATCTTACAGTGCCGCCTCGGGCGTCTGCTCCCAGCTGTCCCTGGAGCCAGCTCAGCGCTGCTCGGAGACCCCCAGAGCCCCTAGGGCGTGAGCGCCGGGCAGGGCTCCTTGGGGGCGGCGGGGACCGAAATCTCGCCCCAGCCCTTGTCCCGCCTGGGATGTGTGTGTACTGGGGGGGGCGGAGGGGAACGGCGGCCGGGCGCGTCGGGGTTCATCTGCCCGGCGCAGGGTGGGTCCCTGCCAGCTGCGTGAGGCCGGGCGCTCCGGAGAGAGCCAGCGGCTGGCCCGGAGCAGGAGCTGGGAGAGGCCCGGCCCTTTGCCGGGGTGCGATCCGGGGAAACAACCCCCGATTCCTCCCGCCCCGCTCCGGGGAAAACCTCCCGGGTCCAGCCGTGACGCCCCCCGCCCAGCCCGGCGGCAGCAACTTACCGGCTCCGGGGCTGGCTCTGGCACCGGGCGCTGGGAGGGGGGCTGAGCCGGGGCCGGTCCGCTCGGGGCTGGGGCTCGGGGCGGTCCCGCCGCGCCTGGCTGCGCTCTGGGCTCGCCTGGCGGAGGCAGCGTGATGTCAGCGCCGGAGTGCGAGCGAGGGAGACGGAGCCTTTGTCTGCATCCTCCTGGCTCGCCGGGCTGGGGAGCGCGGAGCGCAGGAACCTCCGCCAGCGCATTTAACCCTTCGCATCCCACGCCCCTGCCACGCGCCGCCCCCCCTGCGCCCGCCCCCTTCGCCGAGACACCGGAGCTCAGGGCTGGCGGCCCCAGAGCCCGGGGGGTGCGCGCGGCTGCTTGGCCCGAGGGGGAGTTTCAGGGGAGCACGCGGTGCTTGCTGGGATCAGCCCAGGTGCCTTTGGAAATCCAGCATATTCCCGCCCAGGGGTTGAGCGACCCAAACACGACAGGGGTGGCCGAGAGCCGGGGCTAGCGGCGCCAAACAGAAAGCGAAACTGACCCGTTTTCTGGGGAAGGGGCTGAGGTGCAAACTCCAGCTGCATCAGCCGGTTGATTTTTGCATCTCGTTTCAGCAGGGCCCAGACCCAGTGGGGCAGAACCTACGTCCAAAGGGTGACCCAGGCCAGCTCCGATCCCCAAAGGAGAGAACCTGCCAGTAGCCCAGAAGGGCATCCCCACCCTTTGGCCACTTGCCATCATCCCTTCACACCGGGCAGTTAGTTACCCCTGGCTGCACTCACCGGTGTGTTATTGTAGGGTCACCCGGCAATGAAAAGCTGCACTCGTGGGTGTAAGTATCAGAGGGGTAGCTGTGTTCGTCTGTATCCACAAAAACAACCAGGAGCCCAGTGGCACCTTAAAGATTAACAGATTTATTTGGGCATACTCATGGGTTTGGGTTTGGGTTTGTTATTGTAGGGTCACCTGGCAATGAGGGGCTGCACTCATGGGTTTGTTATTGTAGGGGCATCCGGCAATGAGGGGCTGCACTCATGGGTTTGTTATTGTAGGGGCACCAGGCAATGAGGGGCTGCACTCATGGGTTTGTTATTGTAGGGTCACTTATGAGTTTCTCCACTGCTAGCCCTGACCCAGGGAGCTGGGAAGTGAAAAAGAAGCATCTGAAGAACAACACAGACTCTGCAACCAGCTGCCAGGAGGTGCAGCTCCCAACCTGGCACCTTCCCCCCTCTTCTGCATCCCTGAGCCTGGCTCCCCTCAAACCTGGCTCCCCCCAAGCCTGCTTCCCCCCAACCCTCACAGCCCCTTCATGATTGCAGGAGCCACTCCTGTGTTCCCCACAGGGACAGCCCTCCTCCCCCGCCACGCCGCCCCACGGGAGGGGCCAACAAACCGCATCACAATCTGAGCAGTGTAAGAATGAAATCAAAAGGAGGAACTGGGGCCTTTCGCTTCCCCCCCAAGGAGGGGGGTGGGGGACTGGAAACATGACATCAGGGTTTATTTTAGCCAGCAGCTCAGACCCTGTGGGTTTGCCCATCTGGTTGCTGGTGGGGCCCTTGGGCCCAGGCCTGGGCAGTG